TGCTTCAATTAGCTCACTAACCAGAACATGTTCAGAAATCTGTAACCCATCATCCTCCTTGTCCTAAGGAAACTCAGGTTCAGAAAGCTCAGGCTCAGACTGAACCACAACAATGCAGCAGGTAAAAAATGGAATGCAGTTCTAGGCTGCATCAATAGAACTATAAAGCTTACATTATGGGAAGTCACAGTTCCACTCTCTTTTGCTTTGGTCAGACCTCACTGGAATACTGTGTCCACTTCTGGGCACCAAGAAAGACACTCACAAACTAGAACATATACAGAGAGGGTCTGGAAATCATGCCCCACAAGGAGTGGCATAGGGTTACAGGTAGTCCTCAAGTTACAAACAAGATAGGTTCTGTAGGTTTGTTTCCAAGTTGAATTTGTATGTAAGTCAGAACAGGTACATTTTTAACTGCAACTCACAAACATACGTACACACAAACATACGTACACACACTTTGGATAGCATAGGGAATGGTTAACACTCCTGTAGTGTTTGTTTGCTGTCTGTGCCCCTGTTTAGAAGATTCCATCTCACTTCTGTCCTGTGATTATTGGATTTTGAAACATTTGGCTTGAGGAAAAAAGGATTGGTGATAAAGTTTCAGTTGAGACCTCTTCCCCATGATAACTCTTTCAGGACTGAATTTCCTTTCCGAGGGGTAGATTTCTCTCACTTCCTGTTGTTGCACCCCCATTCTTAACTATAAGTCATTTGTAAATCAAATGTTTCTAATTTGCCTGTACTTAGTTTGGAGAAGAGAGAGTTAAGATGGGACGTGGTAGCCAAGTTTAAATATTTAAAAGGATGTTATAACGATCGGCACCTCAAATTATAAAGGATCGCCAATCGATCTCAATATCTATCCACCAATCGCTGGTACCAATTATAAAGATCTATCACAGATCAAACGATACACCAACGCTGCGACCAATATTGTAACTGGATCAACTAATAGATCCCACTAGCTAACAAATTAAATTGTAAAGATTCACAGACCAAATATGAAATACTGCAAACCAATATAATGGATCCAATCAATCCACTGACAACAATATGTAGAGCGACCAATTGTTACGGGCTAATCAAATTAGAAAGGTTTATTTACCTTGAAAGGAACTATTCTTTTGTTTAAAAGGGAGAAACATAAACTGTGTAAGTTTTTGGCTGTATAATGGGTGATGACTGAGAAATATTGAAACTGTTTCTTCTGCTTGGCTATGCTGCCAACTTTCTATTTTTAGTGCTAAGGGAAACCAGGTAACTCTACTTTGAGTTACACTGCTGTTTGTTATGGCTTTAGAGAGGTTATATTTTTATCTAATATATTCACACACAGTCTGTGGTAGTGTGAAAACAGATTAAAAAGTTTATTAAACAGTCTTGAAAGTATTTCAGGTACAAAAAGCTTATTGGTTGCATTAATTAGTACAGTGCTTGAATTCAGTTTCAGTCACAACTTCAAAACTGGGAATTTATATTTTCCCCTCAAAATAGATTCTTCCCTACAAACAGCCCAATACCTCAGGGTCTGTCTAGCAATAGTCCTTCCTATGAAGTAACTATCTAGAATCTATTTCCAAGTTAGACTCCTTACTAATTCTTCACTGCTATTCCTAATCTACAACTGCTCTCTCCTAACTATCCGCTCCAACTTCCTCTCTTAACACACACAAGCCTCAGGATTTTAAAACGCTACTTTTTTCCTGTCAGCTCCTCCAAAGCTATGGCCCCTTTCTCTACTCCAATCCCGGCCATTCCCCTGCTGACTTATGCCTAGGATACGCCCTCCTCTCTGAACTACATTTAAGATGGCGTCTCCCTTCTCCAAAATGGCCACTGATGCTTCGCCTAGCCCACTTCCTATCTTCCTAAGCTTACAGGCTTCTCCAGGCCCTGCATCCTGGCTGTGAATAAGGTAAGGGTTCATCACAGATGTCATATGGAAAATTCAGTGAGCTTGTTTTCTCCTGCTCCAGAGACTGAGACATAGAGCATTGGATTAAATCTACAAGAAAAGAGAATCCACTTAAATGTTAGCTATTTGACAGTGGAATATGCCACTCAGAGTGTGGTGGAGTCTTCTTCTCTGGAGATTTTAAAACAGGGCCTGGATGGCCATTACTGTAAGTCAGTGGTTCTCAACCTTTGGGTCCCCAGGTGTTTTGACCTACAACTCCCAGAAATCACAGCCAGTTTATCAGCTGTTAGGATTTCTGGGAGCTGAAAGCCAAAATATCTGGGGACCCACGGGTTGAGAACCACTGCTGTAAGTGATTTGTGTATTCCTGTATATCACGGAGTTGGACTGAATGACACTTGTGGTTTCATCCAACTCTGATTCTAGGTGGGTAAATGTATGCTAGTGTAATAATAAATGAAGTGTTGGGATCACCAAGTTTTCAGTGCTTTTATTTTCCCAATTAGACTTCAGTGGCTGGGTTTGCATGAGTATAAGCCAACCCGAATATAAACCGAGGCACCTAATTTTACCACAAAAACTTGGAAAACATATTGTCTCGACTATAAGCTGAGAGTGGGAAATGCAGCAGCGACTGGTAAATTTCAAAAGAAAAATTGATACCAATAAAATTACATTAATTGAGGCATCAGAAAGTTAAATGTTTTTGAATATTTACATAACACTGTAATTTTAGGTAAGGCTTTCCAACTGATTCTAAACATCTTCAATGTGCTTATGTATCCAACATCTAAACATAAAACATCTAAACATGTATCCTTATTATTATAAGGAAACACAATAAATGTAATAATAATAATAGAGTAAAATAATGGAAATGTAATAACAGTAATATCATCCTAGATTTTATGTGTTTCCTCCACCACAGGCATCCCAGTGTTGCTTTCTCTCTCCATTGGTGTGGAATTTGCATGACCCCATCCACTGACTCTCCCTTAACCTATTCTTTCCTATTCTTTTCTATGGCACACAGCAAACAGAGGAATTGTTCAGCAACTGAACACACTAGAGAGGTTTAGGGAAAATTCACCATGATTTATAGGAGTTGTAGGTACTGGGATGTATAGTTCACCTGCAATCTAAGAGCACTCTGAACTCCAGCAACGATGGATCTGGAACTAACCGGGCACACACAACCCCCATGGCCAACAAAAAATACTGGAAGCATTTGAAGGGATTTATAGGAGTTGTAGTTCACCTACATCCAGAGTGCACTATGAACCCAAACGATGGATCTGGACCAAACTTGGCATGCATACCCGGTATGCCCAGATTTGAATACTGCTAAGTTTTGAGGAGAATTGGCCTGGGCATTTTGGAGTTGTAGGTACTGGGATTTATAGTTTACCTGCAATCAATGAGCACTTTGAATTCCACTAAAGATAGAATTAGACCAAACTTGGCACACAGAGCCCCCAAGACCAGCAAAAAATGCTGGAGGTCTTTGGGAAAAAATTGCCTTGATTTGGGGGGGTTGTAGTTCACCTACACTCAGAGAGCACTATGAACCCAAACACCAATGGATCTGCACCAAACATGGCACACATACTCGATACACTGAAATTTAATTATTAGAGGGGTTTGGGAGAGATTGACTTTAAGTTTTGGGAGTTGTAGTTCACCTACAACCAGAAAAACAGTGACCATCACCAATGATGAACCTGAATCAAACTTGGCACACAGAACCCCCCATAACCAACTGAACATACTCGCAGGGTTTATGGGAAACTGACCTTCATTTCTGGGAGCTGCAATTCACCTACATCCGGAAACACTGTGACCACCACCAATAGACTGGGACCAAACTTGGCACAAAGAACCCTCATGACTGGAGGGGGTTGAGAGGACTGACTCACAGTGGTGGGAGTTGTAGTTTACCTGTAGCCAGAGTGTATATGGACCTCACTGATGATGTATCTACAGCAAACTTTCTCAACATGACAAACTACTGTTGGAATTTCAGGGGGTTAACCTGGCATGATGTGACTTGTAGTTCATCCATAACCTTATGTATTTTGTAAAATAAAAAATGACTTCTTCAAATAAGCTGGGCAATGTCCGGTAGTCAAGTTTTTCTTTAAAACTGAAACACAGGTGGGATGGGAACCACCAAAAAATTTCCATCCTGTTTCACTGCCCAAGCACCCTGTTATAGAATCATAGAATCCTAGAGTTGGAAGAGACCTCATGAGCCATCCAGTCCAACCCCCTACCAAGAAGCAGGAATATTGCATTCAAAGCACCTGACAGATGGCCATCCAGCCTCTGTTTTAAAGCCTCCAAAGGAGCCTCCACCACACTCCGGGACAGAGAATTCCACTGCTGAACAGCTCTCACAATCAGGAAGTTCTTTCTAGTGTTCAGATGGAATCTCCTTTCTTGTAGTTTGAAGCCATTGTTCTGTGTCGTAGTCTCCAGGGAAGCAGAAAACAAGCTTGCTCCCTCTTCCTCCCTGTGACTTCCTCTCACATATTTATACATGGCTATCATGTCTCCTCTCAGCCTTCTCTTCTTCAGGTTAAACATGCCCAGCTCTTTAAGCCGCTCTTCATGGGGCTTGTTCTCCAGACCCTTGATCATTTTAGTCGCCCTCCTCTGGACACATTCCAGTTTGTCAATATCTCTCTTCAATTGTGCCCAGAATTGGACACAATATTCCAGGTGTGGTCTAACCAAAGCAGAATATCCTATGGGCTTTGATGCAGAACAGTAGGATCCCAAGAAAAAGCAATGGTTTTAAGCTGGATCAATTTCTTTTGTATCCCATGGGTTTTAGGGCAGAATCATAGGATCCCATGGAAGGAAGTGGTTTTAAACTTTGCAATTTGAAACATACATAACATACTGCTGTTTCAGAAAGGCATTTAGGTTTTCCTTTTCTCCACTTCAAAGTTCCAGGCTAAGGTGACAAATGTATGGTCAGGTCTAACTTCAAGAAGTCATTCTGCCCTTCCCATACACAATGAACTCAAGGCTTGAGCCCAAGCTTTGAATTTCAAAGTCAGAAGAAGAGTTGTACAGATGATTCAATGACATTTATTTGTGCTTCAGGGAAGTCCAGTTAATCAGTACAGAATTAGACATTTTATCTGTTTTATAATACACAGATCAATTACATTATTCCAGACACGACTGCTAATAATACTTTGCTTTTCAAAGCTTACTGTAAATTATTCAAAAACAACTTGTTAATTGCTGAACCTCTGAAAGAATTAAGTATGGCGCAGGCTTAGAATTTCATAAATGGCACTTGGAAGGGCTTATCTGTTGCATGTCGCAATGCCAAGGCATAAGCATATAACTTTGCATCCACAATAAGGTTCTCCTCTGCCACCAGTTCTAGAGAAGAAGAAGAAAAATAATAGGTAACATGCATGGGGCCAGCCGAACCAGAAACCTTCCCAGGAAACTTAGTGTAAGTATATATCTACCTGTATACACTTAGGCCCCTTCTACACTCCCATATAAAATCCAGATTATCTGCTTTGAATGGAATTATATGGCAGTGCAGACTCATATGATCCTGTTCTAAGCAGATAATGTGAATTATCGGATTTGATAATCTGGATTATATGGCTGTGTAGAAGGGGCAGCAGTGGTACCGAAATTAATGTGTTGGTATATTGGAAAGTTCATAGAATCACAGAATTGGAAGAGACCTCATGGGCCATCCAGTGCAACCCCCTACCAAGAGGAAAATCGCATTCAAAGCACCCTATAATAATAATAATAATAATAATAATAATAATAATAATAATTTTATTTTTATACCCTGCCAACCATCTCCCTTAGGGGACTTGGGGTGGCTTACAAGGGACACACCCAAGATTACAATTAAAACACACATGTAAAACACTTTAACCAGTTAAAACATCAGATAAAACAAATAACAACACAATTGAAAGCAATATAAAAACAATATGGCTGAAAGAAACATAGCTGAGGTACAGATTCAATGAGTGCACCCTGACAGCTTCTGTTTAAAAGCCTGCAAATAAGGAGCCTCCACCACTCTCTGGGGCAGAGAATTCCACTGTTGAACAGCTCTCACAGTTAAGAAGTTCTTCCTCATGTTCAGGTAGAATCTTCTTTCCTGTAGTCTGAAGCTATTGTTCCATGTTCTAGCCTCCAGGGCACCAGAAAAGAAGCTTGCTCCCTCCTCCCTATGACTTCCCCTCATATATTTATACATAGCCAGGCTGGGACCAGGCTGTCGTACAGATAGCTGATAGCCAGTTGCATTCAATCACTACTGATCATGAGGTCATGAGTTCGAAGCCAGCCCGGGTTGGGGTGAGCTTCCAACCAATAGTCTAGCTTGCTGTCGACCTTTGCAGCCCGAAAGACAATTGCATTTGTCAAAAAGGAAATTTAGGTACCACTTTATGCAGGGAGGACGTTTCGCAGGCATATAGAAGGGTTGGGAGGACAATAGGTCTATAAACAAGCACCTTGGTATCCCTACGGATGTCCCAGTCCTCAAACACTCCCTGCTTCATTCGGAAAAATGCTGCGCTCGCAGAGCTCAGGCAGTGTTGTATTTAGGTGTTGATGTTGACTTTGGTGGAGAGGTGGCTACCAAGGTAGCGGAAATGATCAACATTTTCTAATGTTACACCATTAAGCTGTATCACTGGCATTGGAGAGGGGTTGGCTGGTGTCTGCTGGAACAGCACCTTGGTTTTCTCGATGTTCAATGACAAGCCGAGCTTCTTGTATGCTTCTGCAAAGGTGTTTAGAGTGGCTTGTAGATCTTCTTCTGAATGCGCACAGACGACGTTGTCGTGCAGTGAAGATCATGTCCACAGTTCCTCTGGAGGGGCGGAAGCCGTTCTGGGATTCTGGGAGGGTGTCTTCTGAGAGAGGCAGAAGGCGGTTTGCAAGGATTCTTGTGAGGATTTTCCCAGCTGAGGTTAGAAGGGAGATACCTCGATAGTTTCCGCAGACTGTTCTTTCCCCTTTTTTGAAGAGGGTGATAATGGTGGCATCCTTGAAATCTGCTGGCTAAACATGCCCAGCTCTTTAAACCACTTTTTCAGCTTTACTTAAGGATAGAGTTGGGAAAGGTGAGTTCTTTGGATAACGATTCCTAGAATTCTTGACTTCTGAAAGTCAAGTTTGGAAATGAAATGGCTACCCCATAATAACTACTTTCAAAATTTATAAAGCATGCTATTACTCACAGGAATATCAAGATGGCGACAGAGTAGCAGCAACTCTGCAGAGCTCCGGAGAAAAGATTTACAACTTAGCCAATTTAGCTAAATTGCTCACTGTGAGAAAGATCTGAGCCAAACTGTCCTCCAGAGAAGATTTACAAGTGAGTTTAATTGCTCTTTGTAAGATTCGCGGGAGGGGAAGATTAGAGGGTTAGAGTGTGGCCGCCATTACAACAAGGTCAAAACGCTCCCTTCTACACTGTTTATTACAACACGGTCAGAGTACTCCCTTTCTCAGTCAAGATCAGAGAGAGCTCAAAAAAATTACAACTTCATCTCCATGGATTTCCATGAGGGAACCACAAACAGCCCTGTGGGGTTCCTGGATCTGAATGCAATTTTGGATTCATCCAAACCCCAGGAAGAAAATCCGAAGGGGCCAGACAGCTTAAATTGTTTGGACGATCAGGGACCTGGCCAAGAGGGTGCAAGACTGGACCCAAGACTGGTGAGCCTGCTGCTTGCAGAATACAACCACCTAGCCGATCGGCTTAATCAGTTTGGGAGGCTGCTTTGCCGACTGAATCATCCATCAGCTCAGCCCCTAGATTACACACAAGGGAGGACCACCTGCAAGTCTTTGGACCCTGAAAATGCCAGAGACCTAGCTGGGGATCAAAACTGGGACTATCCCAAGGAGTCTCCCTTAACTTTGCAAAGAGCTTCCCTGATAAATGGAGAGCCATTTGAGAGTGCCGAGATGAGCCAGGATGCATCCTCGATGCCAAAGGGGGAGATTTTGGAGTCTGCTTCTCATGGCTGCTTGTTCGATGGTTTTTGCCCTCTCGATCTTGGACTGTCCTACTCATGCCCTTGGTCTGGGCAGGGAGCTCCAGGGACCACCAATCAGGAAAAGGATTGGCCCTCTTTGCCTATAGTGGAGGCATTGGATGTGACAGAGATCCTTAGACGGGTGCCTGTCTCTCCCTTAGTGTCCCCCTTTTGTGGAAGCCCCCAGTGACGTCGCTGCCTCTCTCTATCAAAGAGGCAAGTTCCAAAGATGGAGACTGACCTTGGGGCCACTGTTGGTGAGCTTCTATCTTCCTCTCCAAATCTCAAGAAGTTCCAGCGCAGGTGTGCGGGTTATCTTGACCAGAGACGGAAACGCCACCATGATATGCACCGGATCTCTGATGAAAGGCCAGAGCAAACTATTTCGCTGGCGGAGGGAGCTTCTGTCACTTTGCAGAGTGCTGGATTGGCTGCGGGCCAGGACAGACTGACGGTGGCCTCTGGAGGGCCGGAAGCCCCAGACATGGACAGACGTACAGCGATAGGAACTGGCAGACCTCTGAATGGTAGGTCCCAGAGTCGTGGCTGTCATCAAAAGAAATTTGAAACTAGAATCTTCTGGGGAGTGGGATTTGGCAACCGGACAAGATCTAGAGCTACTGCCTCCTCCCACAAATTGGCCCACGCTCCCCCAGGTGGCTCCAGATCTGTAAATATGGAGGAGAGAGTACACCCCCAAGATACCAGAGCCTGGGACTCAAATATAAGAACTGTGGGCATAAAAGAGAGAGTGTCTTCCCAGTCTACGGGAGTTAAGAACTCATTCCAGCACTCTCAAGGGAATCTGGTTCCGACAACCTCTAGATTATCCCCCCACCCACAATGCTGGCCGGGTGCTCTGGCCTTTACACCTTCTCCTCACCACTCTGTGGGCCCCACTTATGATACTTGTTAATTGGCCATGCCCCATCTCCTTTTCAGATGGCCAGTCGAACACTGGGCACCTAATCTGTGCTGCAGAGCCTCCAAGAGAAGTAGGTCTATGCATGGGGATTCCTACGATCTCTGGGAGGAGGAGGTACGACGGTAGGCACACGCCGAATACTAGAGGGAGGTTGAGTCGGCGGGAGACTCAGCCCCCCTCTGACCTGCGGCCTATCCCCAGGTACATCTGTGACAGGCAACCAGTGTCCTCCCCTCCTACTCTGGTGTTAGTGAACGCTAGGTCCATAAGGAACAAAACTGCTACCATTAGGGATTTTCTTAATGATCAGGTAGCTGACCTAGTGTGTACTACAGAAACTTGGATCCAAGAGGGGGATGAGATCCTATTCCAGGAAATAACATCTCCAGGTTATGCAATCACTCACCAGATGCGGACTGGGAGGCGGGGGGGGGGGGGGGGGGGGGTGGAGGTGACTATGCTCGCCCGGGAAAGTTTTTCTCTTAGGGCAGTTCCTGTGCTGAGCATCTCTGGTATCAAAAGTGTTGGCCTGGTGTGGGATTCCTGTGGGAGTATAGCCTTTCTGCTGGTGTACCGTGCGCCTAGCACACCAGCAGACAGCCTATCCCAGCTGCTTGAGACTGTGTCGGAGTGGTCCTTGAGGTTCCCCAGACTTATCGTCTTGGGGGATTTCAATGTCCACGCTGATGCAGACTCTTGTTCATTAGCGGCTGTGGACCTAGTCAGTGTCTACCATGGAGACACTAGGACTCTCGCTTTGTAGTACTGGGCCCACACATCGGGCGGGACACACGCTAGATTTGATTTTCAGTGCAGGAATTCAAGTGACCCAAGCTTCCGCAATAGAGGTTCCATGGTCGGATCACTGCGCCCTGAGAGTCCGGTTGGAGCATGCCTACCCACGCTGCAAGGGCGCCGAGCCAATTTGGGCTTGCCCAAGGAGACTTGTGGAACCCAGTAGGTTCCGGAATGCTCTGAGGGATCTGGAGCCTGCCAGCGACTCGATCGATGTGCAGGTGGACACATGGAACATCAGGCTATCCAATGCACTCGACGAGATTGCCCCTAGACACCCTCTCAGACCTCGCCGAAATCGGTCTCCTTGGTTCACCGAGGAACTTCAACTGATGAAGCGGGAAAAGAGATGGCTGGAGGGCGTGTGGCGAGAACTCCATGACGGAGCATCGAGATCAGCTTATGAGGCATTTAGGGAGTCCTATGAGCATGCTATCACCGAGGCAAAGCGAGTATATTATGCTTCTTTGATAGCGTCTGCTAGCTCACGCCCGGCAAAATTGTTCAAAATAATTCGATCTCTAACGACGGTTCCTACCGTCCCAAAAAGTGGTGATCAGGCCCCTTCAGCTGAGGTTTTTCAGAGCTATTTTGCAGACAAGATCTCGCTACTTCGCCGGGACCTCCCCGCCACAATTGATACAGTGAGAGAGCTTGAGACTCCGTGGCCACTTGCTGGGCCCTTCCTCAACCGGTTCATCCCGCTGGACGCAGGGGCTGTCGATAGGCTCATAGCTGCAGCTAGACCGACCACTTGCTCCCTCGATCCGTGTCCCTCTTGATTGGTGAAATCCTGCTTGGAGGGATTACGCGACCCTCTGTTGAAGATTATAAGCAGCTCCCTTGAGCAAGGAGTTTTTCTAGAGGGTTTAAAAGAGGCGGTGGTCTCCCCCTTGCTGAAGAAACCAGACTTAGATTGTTCTGTTCCCTCCAGTTACTGCCCAATTTCGAATCTCTTGTTCCTGGGCAAGGTGATTGAGAGGGCAGCAGCGGAGCAGTTGCAGCAATTCCTAGATAACACAGCTGGACTAGATCCCTTCCAGTCCCGCTTCTCAGGACAGAGACTGTGCTGGTCTCCATCACGGATCACCTTCAATGCCAGCTTGACCAGGGCGGGTCAGCGCTGCTTGTGTTATTGGATCTCACAGCAGCATTTGACACAGTCGACCACAATTTTGACCCACCGCCTTGCTGTTGCTGGAGTCAGGGGAACAGCTTTAAACTGGCTGTCCTCCTTTCTTCACAACCGTGGACAGCGAGTGGAGAGGGGAGGCCTGGTCTCTGAGAGGTCCCCTCTATCTTGTGAGGTTCCTCAGGGGGCCATTCTCTCCCCTCTGTTGTTTAACATCTATATGCGACCACTTGCTCAGCTGGTTCGAGGTTTTGGGCTTGAGTGTTATCAGTGGACCGATGACACTCAGCTGGTGCTGAAGATGGAAGGCCGACCGGACTCTGTATCCGATTGTTTCCATCAGTGCCTCGAGGCCGTTACTGGATGACTGTGTGCCAGCAGGTTCAGGGTGAATCCAGCAAAGACGGAGATCCTATGGCTGGGTTGACTGGGCAGTGGGGACATCTAGCTGCCTACCCTGGATGGCGAGGCGCTACGCCCATCACCATTGGTAAAGAGTCTGGGAGTTCTTTTGGACCCTCTGCTGGCGATGGAGGCCCAGGTCTCCTCCGTTAGCAGAACCGCCTTCTTTCATCTGCGGCAGGCTAGACGGCTGGCCCCCTCCCTGTCCAGGGACGACCTAGCTACGGTGATCCAGGCCACAGTCATCTCAAGACTGGACTACTGTAACGCCCTCTACATTGGTCTTCCTCTGTCGGTGATCCGGAAGCTCAAGTTGGTACAAAATGCAGCTGCTCGGCTTCTTGCAGGAATTCCGATGAGATGCCACATAACACCAATCGTACTACAGCTGCATTGGTTACCAATTGAGCACCGGATCACTTTCAAAGTGATGGTACTAACCTTTGAGGCCTTGCATGGTCTGGGGCCGATGTATCTGGGGACCGCCTCACCCTCTACCAACCCCAGAGATCCCTCCATTCTGAGGACCAAGATCTATTGGAAGTCCCCAGTGTCAAGACCTTGCGTCTAACAGCAACCAGACTCAGAGCCTTCGCAGCAGTGGCACCATCACTCTGGAATACTCTGCCACCTGAAGTCCGTGCCTTGCGGGACTTACCAGCTTTCCGCAGGGCATGTAAGACATTCCTGTTTCGACAGGCTTTTAATGTTTGATATTGCTGTTTTTAAATTGCTTTTAAATTTTGTTAGATTTTAGTCATTCTTGTAAGCTGCTCCGAGCCCCAGGGGAGTGACGGCATATAAGTTTAAATAATCAATTAATTAAATAAATAAATATATAAATTTTGAGAGGTACCATGCTTATTTTATTTTACATCAAATAGACAGAAAGCTAAAAATCTCCCAAGTGACCCTTGGAAAAAAGGTTTGGCAATTATGGATTAGTGTATCCTGATAATATCAGTTCCTGACTGATCTCAGAACTTGGGCTGGACCAAGCCTTGCTAGTACTTAGAAGAAAGACTTCCAGGAACGATGTGGTGTAGGCTATATTCAAAGCATGTAATGGCAAATTAGGGCCACTCACACAAATGCAGCTTGGAACTCACATGAATGCAGCTTGGAACCAGTTTCGCTGCTCTGGTGTCTAGACTGACATATTTGGAACTGATTTGGGTCCAGGTGAATAATTACATCAACCATGAAACCTGGTCTCAAACCGCTTTGTGAGGATTCCCAACCTTTTTCCGTTCAATTCCTTATAAAGTCCAATGGCATTAATGGGGTAAGTTGACAGGCAAACTTGGCAGCATATATTACTGCCACTCCCCCTCCTCTTTATATCAAAATGCTGAATGCATTAATGGTAGGTTACATACCTGTGACCATCTTGCTTTGAGTGGTGCTCTGTGAATTCACACTTGTGGAGAGACTGCGCCTGCGTGGGCTCCAATGGAAACTTCTCTAGTTTAAACTTTTCAAGTTTTGGCGGTAACCTTGCCCAGCCCCAGCAGGGCATAAAAGGGCGCCCTGCGCACACGCTCGCAATTCCTACACCGCAAAGGCAACGAGAAAATTGGAGGTTTGTAGCGGGGAGGCCGGGCAAGATTGTGTGAATTCACAGAGTACCACTCAAAGAAAGATGGTCACAGGTATGTAACCTACCATTTTTCTTCGTGGTCTCTGTGAATGCACACTTGTAGAGACTAGCAAGCTGAGGTCCCGGAGGCGGGAAGAAAACAAACCGACACTCAATCAAGAGGACCAAACAATTTTATTGTAGTGCAAAAAAACAGTAAACAGCACCTCCCAGAAGGGAGGATACAACATGTAAACCACAGGAGTACGTGATCCTCCTGGGCCAAAAATGGATGGCCGATTCACAGTGTAAACACACTCATCGAAATGAGGGCACAGTAATCACAGTTACGTAAGCATAACATTACAGTATAAGGCACGGTAGCGAGTTCAAAAACGTCTCGCAGTTAAGGCCAAAACACCTAGATCCCCCCCATGAGGGGGGGATCTGGGTGTTTTACATGCAACATTGGCATGTAAAAATTATAAGTTGCTTACCTGTAACTGTAGTTTCCTGAGTAGTCACCTGTGAATTCGTACATTTGGTATCCCTGCGCTTGCGCAATACAACTTTACGGAACCTTCTAGAAAGAAAGAACATTTTCAGCCCTCAGCTAGGCCTGCCCCCCCCTCCCGAGTATATATAGCCTGAGGGCGGGACTAGCCGACAGTTCTCTTAGCCGCAAAAACAGCTAACGGTGCGGCATGATACTCGAGGGGAGGAAGGGCGGGTATGTACGAATTCACAGGTGACTACTCAGGAAACTACAGTTACAGGTAAGCAACTTATAATTTCCTGTCGTAGTCACTGTGAATCGTACATTTGGTAGATTAGCGAGTACAATCTCAGCTGGCAGGATCATGCCACCGCCGAAGACAGCACCACTCTACCAAATTCCAAATCCCTTTGAGAGACTGCGTCCACCTTATAATGTGACACAAATGTCAGAGGGGACGACCAAACAGCAGCCCTGCAAATGGCATCCAGGGACACGCCCTTTATTCCTTCCGGCAGTGGACTTTGCAACAGCCCTGGTGGAATGGCCCCTAATTTGCAACGGCAAATCCTTGCCTGCCAGGCGATAACATAAACGGATAACCAAAACTATCCAGGAGGAAAACCTCTGGGAAGACAACGGAAGGCCCAGTGTATCTTTGCGATATTTTACGAACAATCTGGGAGTTTTCCTTATGGGAGCCGTTCTAGCAACATAGAATGCAAGAGCCCTACGGACATCGAGTAAATGCAGAGAACGCTTTGTAGGTGTAACTGGGTTCTGAAAGAAACCTGGAAGTACCAACTCCTGAGATATGTGAAATCGAGTAGAAACTTTAGGAAGAAAGGCCACATCAGTTCGCAAAACCACCCTATCCATGAAATTTAAGGTAGGGGGGATCTACTCGCAAAGCACATAGCTCACTAGAACGTCTAGCAGATGTAATCGCCACCAGGAAGGCCGTTTTCCATGACAGAAAGGAAAAATCAACCCTGGCTAACGGCTCAAAGGGGGGTTTTGAAAGGCA